TTTTCTGTGTCCGGCAATGGATCGCAACCCTCAGTGTCGCCCCCGTACCGGACTAGGACCAGCAACGGGATCGCAACCCTCGGCGTTGCCCCCGCACCTCGCTCAGCCAGTGAGCGGCCAGTCTGTATGTGGGATCCGAACCCTCGGTGGGAGCGCCACCGCGCTTCCCAAGCGGCGCACTACAGCAGTGCGCCACCGGGCCGCCCCTAAAGTGTCCTTTCTAAAGCAATAACCTGACCATGTTAATGCTTTCACTTTTCAGTTCAAAGCACTCTCCTGGCTCCTATCTCTTTACAGGACAAAGTATAAATTCCATTGTCTGCCACATAAGACCCTCCATGAACTAACTTTGACCTCTCGATCCAGCTCATCTCTCGCTTACACAGTTCAAAGCACTCTCCTGGCTCCTATCTCTTTACAGGACAAAGTATAAATTCCATTGTCTACCACATAAGACCCTCCATGAACTAACTTTGACCTCTCGATCCAGCTCATCTCTCGCTTACACCTCTACCCCTCCTCAAGCCAGGCTGGACCCCAGGTAGCTCTCCAGCCTGCCAAGCTCTCACATGTACATAGTTCCTTTCTGCCTGGGATGTCCTCTCTGCTTTGTCCCTTTGTGTATACCTGGTGAGCTCCTCCTACTCTTTCCTACACCCAGCTCCACCATCACCTCCTCCTAGAAGTCTTCCCTGACCACTAACCCCCCGTCCCCTGCCATAGAGAGTTAGACATTTCTTGGACATATGTTTGCTAGCTCACTTGAGCTATATTGTACATTACTGCTTCTGAGTGTGTCTCTCCACCCAACCAGGAGCTCCTAATGTCCAACAAGGGGCCTGGCTCAGTATGTATTTGATGAATAAATAAATGAGTAAATAGAAGGAAGGATTGATGAACAATTAAAATCAGTAGCTTTGGCACAAGAGAATAAAAAAAAAAAAAGATGACAAACCCCCAAAACTGTGTTTTATGGTGTGAGAAAAGCATTCTTCTCCATGGAAGCATTCCTTTGTATTATTCCTTAAAAATTATCATTACATATTTAGAAAGAAATAAATGAATGTACCACTTTGTGCATCTTGTCCCTCTTAAAGTACAGTACCCATTGTGCCTAGGAGAGCCAGAATTTGGCTTCCTAGCTGGTAATGAGGCACAGGCTGAATAGACTGAGGCCACGTGAAGGCACAAGAGTGGAATTATCCACCTGGGGACTGGCTTGACTAGTTTTGTACTGTCTGATTTATTGGTCTGCCTTATTTCTAGCCAGAGCCCATACTAACCTGTGGTTAGATTCAGTGCCACCTTTAGTTGTACCCTGCTATGTCTCACAGTCTTTAAAGTGCCTTACAAAGGCCATCTGATACTGCAAGATTTTCCTTTACAGTGAGAAAAATGAAGCAAAGAGAAAACCAGGATAAGAACGTAAAGAAGCCACAGTCAGATGAGACACAAAATGTATGCCATGAAGTTTTAGCCTAGCTAGTTGAAGCATATTTGGCTCTGAGCTTCCCAGAAGCCAAGGCAAAGAAGAAAACAGGAAGTTACTAGTGGAAAAGCAATCCAAGCACACAGGTGACTACATAGGGGTATTGACACCAGAGTTTCCCCCATGGTTCCATGAAGACAGGAACAACATCCTACACTAAATGAAGCATTGACTACCACAGAGGCTATTTCTTAGACACGTTTTCAGCAAAGCCCAACGGCTAAGGAGCACTATCCTTCGCTCTCTCCTGAGCAGATTGTGACTCAGCTTTTGGAATGTGCACAGTAGCTGAAAGGACACCTCCCTTTTCAGGAGGAGTGTTTCAATTGACTGTACAGGCTGAGGGCCAGTCAATGCACCTTGTGGGTTTAGAGTCAGACCGACTTGGGTTCTGATCCCAGCTCTGCCACCTACCAGCCATGTGAGCATGGGTGAGTCAGTCACTTCACCTCCCTGAGCCTCAGTTTACCATTCATAAAATGGGGTGAGAATATCCACTTTGCAGAGTTCTCATAAATATTAGAGCTGAGATACATAATGTGCTTGAAACACAGAGGCCCTCAAAAATGGTAGCTGTTAGTATTATTTAATTAGACTGAGATGTATATTATTCCTAACAATGTATATTCTCTGACCACTTATGGGGGGCAACAAAGTCTGTATCCTCACAAGGCAATTCTCTGTGTATTTACTTAGTGCATAGATACTGTGTTCGAAGCCACAAAAACCAAGATGAACTGTGGGTGGCAGGGGACATCTGTAAGAGCAGAAACCCTAGCCTTACCTGAAGCAGTTGCACAGGATTGGGCTCCTGGCTGATACTCCAGACCCTGTTGGAGAGATCGTTCAGGACATCAATTTGCTTCTCGCAAGATTCAGCTTGCTCCCTGAACACCTGGAGAGTGAGCTGTGTGTTTTTATCAATGAATTTCTTGGCCAGCACTTCCTCTTCATCAAGTAGTAATCTGAGTTCAGTGAATTTCCCCACCAGCCAGGTTTTGCTTGACTCTGCATGAGCCTAAAAAAAAAAAACCAGTTGCAGATGGTATGTTTTCCAGCCAGGAAATCCAGAATAATCAACATGAAAAAAAAATTATAACATCTAATAAGTGAGTTCAACAAGGTGGCCAGTCAGATCCAAGATCAACTTATAAACACCAAAGTTGGCCTGAGCACCAGCCATCACCAACTGGAAAATGCATGAAGAAATAAAGATCCTTTTTAAAATGGGGGGGAAATAGCAAAATATTTCAAAATCAACCAGGGGCTGGCCAGTTAGCTCAGTTGATTAGAGTGCAGCCTTGTGACACCAAGGTCAAGGGTTCGGTTCCCCCTACCGGCCAGCCAACAAACAAACAAAACAAAACAAAACAAAAACTAACAAAAACTGTAAAGACCTAGATAAAGAAAGTACAAAATTGTACTGAAAGTCATAAAAACAAACAAATAAACAAACAAAAAAAACCCCTCTGACTGCATGGAAGAAAAAACCATATCCTTGACTATGAAGATTCATTATTATGAAGACGCTATTTGTCTGTAAATTTGATGAAATCCCAATCAATATCTTAGCATGACGATTAAAAAATGTTAAATTATTATGGGGGAGAATAAGCACAAGAAAAGCCAAATTGCTTTTAAAAGATCAATAAAGAAAAAAAACTGCCTTATTAGACAACAAAACAAATTATGTGGCTCAAGCATAGACAAGGTCAAGAGCTCAGAATAAAGAATTTTTAAAAGAATCCAGGGCCGGCCCGGTGCGCTCAAGCATAGACAAGGTCAAGAGCTCAGAATAAAGAATTTTTAAAAGAATCCAGGGCCGGTCCGGTGCCGCACTGGATAGTGCGCTGCTTGGGAAGTGCGGCGGCGCTCCCGCCCGAGGGTTCGGATCCCACATGCAGACCGGTTCCCGCTCACTGGCTGAGCGAGGCGCGGGAGCA